GCAGCTCGACGCGAGTGTGTGTGTGTGTGTGTGTGTGTGTGTGTGTGTGTGTGTGTGTGTGTGTGTGTGAGAGAGAGAGAGAGAGAGAGAGAGGGGAAGAGGAGAGAGAGAGAGAGAGAGAGAGAGAGACAGAAAGAGAGCTTGTGGCCGAGGGTGACCTCGACGGCACAGGGCGCACGATCAGGTTCGCCGGCACAGGTGTGGATTGAGTTTCTTCCTGTTCTCACGCCCCCGCGTTGACGGCAGGCCGCGGCAGGCCGGCAGGCGGCATAGGGACGCCACCTTGTTCTCCTCGTCATTTTTCAACCTCAAATTTCAATTCCACCCGTGGCGCACTCAGCCCGCCCCTGCGCTACGCTGCGCTCCCCCATCTAAACCCTCATCTCGCTTGTCGCCGCCTTGCGGGCTTGCGGCCTTGCTGGCTTGCGGTGGCGCTGTTCTGTGCATTGTCCTCCCCGAGCCGAGCCGAGCCGAGCGAACCGAGCCGCGCCTTGCCCAAGGCGTGGCGCCGAGCCGGAGCAGGGACAAGCCGCGACCTCAGCAACCGTGGCGCCTCCGACAGCAGGGTCTCGGTGGCCACGCCGCGCACAACGCCCCGCCCCGCCCCACCCCACGCCCGGCGTGGCGATGCTCATGAATTTAGATCCAAGCCAAGAGTTTCAGTTTGTTATCTTTTAATCTTTTAGGATGGAGAGGGAGGGAGAGGGACTGACTAATCTTACATCCAGAAAATTGAAACTCTGCGAGCTGGAAGGTCAGGCTGGGAGCCGCGTGGACGAGGCGAGGCACTTGCCTTGGCAAGGTGCGGACGCAACAAGAAGGGTGGAACAGTGAGCCTGGCTGGGCCTGCCCCTGACAAACTGAGGGCCAGGTCAACTCGGGGGTAACTCGGGGGTAACTCAGGGGTAACTCGGGGGTAACTCGGGGGTAACTCAGGGGAATCGGGGGAAGTCGGGGGGAAGTCGGGGGGAACTCGGGGGGAAGTCGGGGGGAACTCGGGGGGAAGTCGGGGGGAACTCAGGGGCAAGTCGGGGGGAACTCGGGGGAACTCGGGGGAACTCGGGGGAACTCGGGGGCAAGTCGGGGGGAACTCAGGGGTAACTCGGGGGCAAGTCGGGGGGAACTTGATCGACTCGCCCAAACACTAGAAATACGCTCCAAACTAGCACCGTTGCCTTTGTCTCGTTGCCCCGATTCTAAAAGTGCCCCTACTTGCCCCTCTAGCTCAGCGGTTCCCAACCTTGGGGTCGCGACCCCAAATGGGGTCGCGAAAAAATTTTGAGGGGTCGCGGCGAGGTGGCTGGGGTCGCCTGGGGTCGCGGTGGTTTCCCGGCTGGCCCACACGCCGAGCACTGGCTGCTTAAATGCCGCAAAGTTGATCAAAACGGTCACAAATGTGTGTAAAAGATCGTGTTTTGGGTCGACTTTAAGCATCCACTGCTTCTGATCCGAGGCGGTAAATCGCCCTCCCTCAACGGGCAATTGGTCTTTAGACCTTCCTTTAGCATGCCTTTGTTACGGAGTGCAATTATCTGCCTCATTTTGGAAGCAGTACTGCCGCAAAGTTGGTCTAAACAGTCACAAATGTCTGTGAAAAATCGTGTTTTGGGCCAACTTTAAGCATCCACTGCGTCTGATCCGAGGCGGTAAATCGTCCTCCGTCAACTGGCAATTGGTCTTTAGACCTTTCTTTAGCATGCCTTTGTTACGGAGTGCGATTATCTGCCTTAGTTTGGGAGCAGTTTTGCCGCAAAGTTGATCAAAACGGTCACAAATGTCTGAAAAATCGTGTTTTGATCAACTTTGTGGCAAAACTGCTCCCAAACTAAGGCAAATAATCGCACTCCGTAACAAAGGCATGCTAAAGAAGGTCTAAAGACCAATTGCCCGTTGACGGAGGACGATTTACCGCCTCGGATCAGACGCAGTGGATGCTAAAAGTCGGCCCAAAACACGATTTTTCAGACATTTGTGACCGTTTTGATCAACTTTGCGGCAAAACTGCTCCCAAACTAAGGCAGATAATCGCACTCCGTAACAAAGGCATGCAAAAGGAAGGTCCAAAGACCAATTGCCCGTTGAGGGAGGGCGATTTACCGCCTCGGATCAGAAGCAGTGGATGCTTAAAGTCGACCCAAAACACGATCTTTTACACACATTTGTGACCGTTTTGATCAACTTTGCGGCATTTAAGCAGCCAGTGCTCGGCGTGTGGGCCAGCCGGGAAACCACCGCGACCCCAGGCGACCCCAGCCACCTCGCCGCGACCCCTCAAAATTTTTTCGCGACCCCATTTGGGGTCGCGACCCCAAGGTTGGGAACCGCTGAGCTAGAGGGGCAAGTAGGGGCACTTTTAGAATCGGGGCAACGAGACAAAGGCAACGGTGCTAGTTTGGAGCGTATTTCTAGTGTTTGGGCGAGTCGATCAAGTTCCCCCCGACTTGCCCCCGAGTTACCCCTGAGTTCCCCCCGACTTGCCCCCGAGTTCCCCCCGAGTTCCCCCCGAGTTCCCCCCGAGTTCCCCCCGACTTGCCCCTGAGTTCCCCCCGACTTCCCCCCGAGTTCCCCCCGACTTCCCCCCGACTTCCCCCCGACTTCCCCTTGAGTTACCCCCGAGTTACCCCCGAGTTACCCCTGAGTTACCCCCGAGTTGACCTGGCCCTCAGTTTGTCAGGGGTGGCTCACCGGGCCTGGCTCACCGGGCCTGGCTCAACGGGCCTCGCTCACCGGGCCTGGCTCACCGGGCCTGGCTCACCGGGCCTGGCTCACCGGGCCTGGCTCACCGGGCCTGGCTCACCGGGCCTGGCTCACCGGGCCTGGCTCACCGAGCCTCGCTCACCGGGCCTGGCTCACCGAGCCTCGCTCACCGGGCCTCGCTCACCGGGCCTAGACGGACCGTTCAATCGTCAGACAGGCGGGGCGGGCGAGGCGGAAGGAAATAACAGGACTTTATTTCATGCGCGTGTGCTACAGAACAAGAAGGAACACACGCCCACGCACGCTGGCTGTATCTCCGCGCGCGCACACACACGCACACACGCGCGCGCGCACACACACGCACACGCGCGCGCGCACACACACACACACACACACGCGCGCACACACGCACACATCTACGGGATCGGATGGGATCGCCGGAGCCCAGCCAATACGGGGCACTAAAATACAGAATTATGTTTCATGGCTATGGCCTCTAAATATTTTAGTGCGGCCGTATAGAGAGCGATCTCTCTTTCTTCCGACTCTCTTTTTTTCTTTTCTCCTTATTTCATTCTCTTTTTTGGCGTTCGCTGTAGCACTGGCACAGTGGAGCAGCAGAGCAACCGTCGAACGGCGCCAAAGTGCTTCCTGGAAAACGGACACAATAACACCGCGCCGCGCACCGGACCGTCCGATACTTCTTCCTCTTCATCC